CCCATACAGGTCACACACACACTCAAGGCACTCCGACAACATGCAGGCCACACACAGTCATGCAACCCACAAACAAGCACGCACTCAGACCCAGCAAACACATCGACAGGCAGGGAACTTAGTACGGCATGCATCCTATGAGCAGAAATCAGAAATCGACTGTATGTTTCAGTCCGTGTATTGACGGGTCATTACACAACAAAAAAAATGCATGTAGTGTTTTGTTTGCCTCTTTGAAACTCAAAAGAGTCAAATGACTCAAAACCCACCTCGGCCGTAGTTATTTTTTAAGGCTTGTGTTTATTGGAGGAGTGTATTATATCTGGTTTGTGATCTAATCTGGCCTACAAAAAAATAAAAAATAAAAAGATATCGTCTTGTTGAGTCAATGTCGACAAAGGCCGCTGGTTTGTGTGGGCATTCCTTTGCACAAGGTGAGAAATGGAAAGCAGCATGCACAGCGGTTAACAAGAGCCAGGCCCCTCTGGTGCTGTATTCATGCCGACAGAGCATGAATCTGGGATGGTATACGATCAGGTTCAGGCTTTCCAAGCCTGAACATATCACCAGCGGGCATACTTTCTCAAGGGGACATTCTCAAGGTGGTGTTGTTCTTTTCTATCCCTCCCCGCTCTCCTCCCTCCTCCATTTCTTTCTCTTCCCTCCCTCCACCCCTCTCCTCTCCTTCCTATTTCTGGCTGCGCCAGGAGGCAAAACGAAGGGCTTTGGAGTCCAAGCATCGGATTCGCGTTCCTGCACCGGCTATGGCTGACTGGAAACCCTCATTCTGTAAGTGATAAATGACGACATGACCGCCACTTTTCCCATCGCTATTATGCTCGAAAAGTCTTAGAAAATGATGGGAAAAAATGATGAAATTCTGAAAACTCTGAAACTTATGCCCGAAAAGTCTTAGAAAATGATGGGAAAAAATGGTGAAATTCCAAAAATCTGGAAACGAAGAAAATTTTGAAAATGAAGAAAATTCTGAAAAATTGCTGCGTTACCAACCGGGCTGCCCGGGTGACCTAAGGGTGAGGGAAGGTTCCTGAAATATAGTAACAGTTTGTCACAGCCCCTCGTTTGTTGTCCTCTTCTCCCTCTCTGCCTACGGTTTACTGGGCAGCTCTGTTTGACAACTTTGACGATGTATTATTGGGGGAAAAAAAACTATGTTTACCGGGCAGAATAGCAAACGGAACGACTTTCGCCTCGGGGTCGGATTGAAATTCTTTCCCAAATTAAAAGGAAAAAAACAGAAAAATTCAAAAATATTATTGTTATTATTTTTTTGGGGCAACGGCTCGTGGGTCACAACCCACGTTTTGAATGGGCAAAAAAAACAGTAGTCCGCAGGTCCGTCCCGACCGTAGTTCAAAACGGCAATAACAACAGTGGCCCGCGTTATACACATGGTGCCTGTTCGAAACAGGCACTTTTGTCTTCCTTTTTTTTTTTCTTTTTTTTTTTTTCCGTCTTATGGTCGCGCCGCGCCGG